GGCAGAATCTATGTTTTTATACTGATAACAACAAAAAAGCATCAATCAAAAGCCAAAGGGACAATTATTCTGCTTTTCTAGGCTAGTTACCTTTCAGCAGGTCTAGTTTAGCTGTTTTTATTCTCTGTGATTAGATAATAAATAGTCAACACAGTACACAGAATTGATCATATCTGATCAGCACTGCCTTAGTTTGACGTTTGACTCTGAGCTTTGGTGCGTGAAGCTCGGCACAGCACTCACTGAGACATGACGTGTCATCACAAGGTAGCCCTACCCTAAATCATACCCTGCTTTATGGTCTATTTTACTCTAAATAGGACCATCATTTACTAAATGAACATCATGCTGTATGGTCGAAGACTGAAACTAGAGACTGAGAACATAAACTCATTAGGAAACTGTTTCCTGAGCTCATAAATCAAGTCAGAAGTCGACTAAGAATTGGCCCAATTTAGATGTTAAAACACATACCAATCTACAAATGACTAAATCACTGGACATGCAACAGAGTAACTGCACAATAAATAGTACATTTTGCCTGTCTGTGTTTTTCAGAGTTCAGGGGTGTGCGAGAGCAGCTACAGTTCACCTCTGTCCATTCAGTTTGAACACCAGGGCTGCTGGAGCACCAGAGCCGTCCGTCCCAGGTTTTGTTCCTTGACCTGTCCGGAGGGACGCTGCTGCAGCCCATCCCACACCAGGACAGTGCGGTTGGTTTTCCGCTGCCCCCAAGGCAGGCTCACCCAGCATCAGGTGATGATGATCGAGTCCTGCTCCTGCAGCATCTCCACCTGCCGTCAGTCCCCAGCCACAGCTGCCCGGAGTGTCCTGTGGTTGTGAGGTGCATGTGCATCCAGCTACAAGGAAGATGGGCAGTTCATGTCTGTGAAACTAGAGGCTAAAAATGACCCAAAATACACACGCGACAATGTGGTTTTCAAGGAAGTTAAAGTAGTGTTTCAAAATTATGGAAATATTTAAATCAGGATGTGAAACTAGACATTATACAATAGCTGTGAGAGAAATGCATCCAGATGTACAAATTCACAGATTTGTAAATGAGCACTTGCATTTGAAAGTTTGTATTAAAATGTAAATTGTAATCTGTATCCAGGTTTAAAACCAAAAAGGTTTCCTCATTCACATTTTACCCCATATTATTTAATAGCTATGATCCTACAACTTCACATATCACAAGGTGTTACCATTTAAATCCTGTCCACTCTTTGACAAACTCAGATTGGATCTAAATGACTGGTTCTCAAACAATGGTATGTGTATCACTTGTGGTACACAAACTGCCTCTAGGGGTATGCGGAGGAATATCTGAACAATTCTTTTTAAATGTACTAAATCAACAAAAAAAACAAAAAAAAACATACTAACATATACAATACGACAAAATTTCAAATCAAAACACTTGAACTATGAGATCACTGAAATGTAATTTAAAGTAAGTTTTGCATTTTGTGTAATATTTTGTTTCAACATCAGCCTGCTTGCTCAACTGTTATTGGAGCACAGAGCAAAAAGGGGCAGGAAGGGTTAATTGTTTGCTTGTTAGCCACCTTCTAAGGTGATAATATGTCAGTGGTGTGTTCCTCCTGTGTTCCAGATTTGTAAATAACACATAATTACACAGGGAAAATGTACAGATTGTAAGATTTCATTTCATGATGGCAACCCTAAGTCTGCACATTAAAGCTGCAGTACTTAACTTTTATAGAAATTACTTTTTGTCATATTCACTGAAACTTATATCCTGACAGTAGAACATGAGACAGATAATCTGTGAAACAATCAGGTTCCTCTGGCTCCTCCTCTAAAAGTTACCTCCTGCAGCTTTAAAGGGATGATGCTACATCTAGAGAGATTGATGTAGTGATAGAGTGCATGCAATTTGCAGATGCTCCACACTGATGTAAGAAGAGCGATGGTAGAGGTAAATTAAACTGGAAACACTTAATTTAAATGATACAAACTGACATATGTAGGTGCACTTTTCAAATACTGCTGTATTCATTTGCATTTACAATGTATTTATTTCTAAATTAATGTTTAATAAAACTTTTAATGCCCTTTCCCAGCAGAATGGCATTTTATTATTGTTACCTCGGTCTAACAAGTTATTATGTAATCAGTGTTTGACAAGAGGGAAGGTGTGTGTGAGTGATGTCAACATGCAGGGCCCAATACTAAGCAAGTCACTTTTGACCTAGTTAGTAATTCCATGTTACAGTGTAATAGTTGTACTTTAAGCCGTCTGTACAGCCAGGTCACGCAAGATGTAAATTATTTCACAGTAATAAATCCTCATTCATCCTCATTCTTTGTAAATGTCTGTGTTGTTGACTGATTATTGTTGTTTTATATTTCCAAGAATGTCTGCATGACTCTTCGTGTGTATGACATCTGTACAGTGGGAAGTGGGCGGACCTTCTTTCTTTGCTTTCATATTCTCTTCGGCATTGTTTGGAACCACTCACACGTTATCTGCCAGAGGAGATGTTTGGTCTGAGCGCCGAGCCGCTGGCTGCTGCTGCTCTTTCACTTTTGTGGAAAAGTTCCAATTGAATGAAAAACTAATTTAATCTTAATTAAATCAGCGGAAACCCCAAATATGTCTGGAAACATCACGCACGGTGCCTGCGAGACCATCAACCTGAACTTTACGCACGCCTTCCTGCCGCCCGTGTTCGTCACTGTGTTCGTTGTCGGGACTCTGTCCAACATCTGGGGGCTGAAAAGCGTGTGCAGCAGCTGGAACAACATCGGAAACATCAACATCTTCATGTTCAACCTGGGAGTGGCGGATTTGTTGTACCTGTTCACCCTGCCGTTCCTCGTGGTCTATTACGCGCGCAACAGCCACTGGCAGTTCGGCCAGCCTTTCTGCAAGGTGACCCGCTTCTGCTTCAACCTCAACCTCTACGGCAGCATCGGCTTCCTCACCTGCATCAGCATCTACAGGTACCTGGGCATCGTGCACCCCATGAAGGTGATGGGGAAAATCACCAGCCGCCACTCGCTGGCCATAAGCGTCCTGGTCTGGATTCTCGTCATCATCCAGATCCTCCCTGATATGTTCTTTGACAAGAATGCCTCAACATCACCCAACTCGTGTTACGACACCACCTCTAACGACCGGATCAGCGCCTACTTGCCTTACAGCATCGCCTGGACCGTCACAGGGTTTGCCATCCCACTGGTGATCATTCTGGTGTGTTATGGACACGTTGTTGTGGTTCTGGCCAGAAAAGCTAACGTCAACCCTGTGCTGAAGCAGCGCTGTCTGAAACTGGTCGTGATTCTGGTGATACTATTCTCCATCTGTTTCATCCCCTACCACGTGTTTCGGAATCTGAACCTGAGTACCAGGATTTTGAAACAAAAAGCTATTTGCCACGCCAGCTTCCGCGACATCTACATTGCGCATCAGGTGGGCAGATGCCTGGCTTGTCTGAACAGCGCTATAAACCCGCTCATTTACATAGTGGGCAACGATGATTTCCTCATGAAGCTTCATGGCCTCAGTAAGCGGGCCCGGCTGTCTCTGGCCGGCCTCACAGGCGCAGTCATTTACCGCAGACCGAAGGAGAGAGACGCGGATTCATCGTCGGAGACTGCGGTTAACTCCTAACAGTCGGTTCACCCGAGAGACACTTCCGTGCACTCGAGTCCCTGCATATCAAGCACCGCCAGAACTTCCGCTTTTCCGGGAACAAATTAGAGTAATGACTGATAACCTGCGGCATCTCTTGTGGCAGCGCATCAGTCATCAGGTCAGCAAGGTGTCAGGGCGTCATTACCAGATACTTATTATCTGCAGCTGAAGCTCATGATCTCATCTCATGTACTGCACTGATTTATTAAGTATTCAGTATTGTGCTGTTAATATTTTGCACTTTCTGTATATTACTGCAGTGGTTCCCAACCTTTTTCACTTTTTTGGAAAAGGGGGTGGCATATATATGCATATGTCAATGTTTTGGAGACCCCCTAAAATATCACAAAGCAATTTTATAGTTCGCACCCTGGGACCCCTTTTTAAGTTTTCTAGCACCCTTTAAAATCAAGAAGGCTTTGCAACCCTCCCGTGAAGCTTCCCCCAGGTTGGGAACCACTGTATTACTGTGTGTGCTTGTAAGTGGATGTCCTGTGATGTGATGGCCTTCCTACTGTACAGTGCAGGAAAAGTCCAGTCCATGTATTGTGCTTACACATTGTCAGGGACTTGTTTATAGCTGATTGATTGTACTACCTTTGCACTGTTACAAGTGAAGCATTTGGCAGTAGTTTGTATTTTCCAGGCTTTATGTAAGTGAGACTTAATCAAGAGGGTTTGGAATAAAAGGCACTTATTTCATGTCAGTGTTGTTGCTCCACAGTATTTATAGTGCAGGATTATTTAGATAAAGTGGACACAGCAGCTGTGTAGGTGCTGAGACCTGCAGTCTGAAGAAGTGATGGGAGAAATATTCAGTGAAACTCTTCATTACCAGTCCTGTATTTAAAGGTTTATTTAAATATAAATACAGAAGTATTATCAGATGTATCAAGTATCACAAATTAAAGTACTCATTATGCAGAATGCTTCCTGTCAGAATGATATGTTATTATATAGCCTACTATTATTATGTAACAGCATATATATTAGGGTTGTTGAGTTCATTTCTGTTTGTGATGAGCCTCTGTGTGTGAATGGCTGAATGGAGCACGTACTGTAAAGTGTTCTGAGTGGTTGGAAGAATAGAAAGGCGCTATACAAGTACAGGTCCATTTACCATTTACCATTTAAAATGGAAAGACCGGGCAAAAACCCTTGCAGATGA